TTCCTTCTTGTTGAGGCATGTGAAATGTTTTTGTTATATAGTGAGATATGGCACTGTACATGCTACTTGTTGATAATAAAGCATTATATAAAAAAAAATAAAAAAAACAAATCCCAGCCGGGTCCGTCACTTTTTTGGGTCCCCTTGAAACATTTCCGTTGTGGTCCGTGCTATTTGCAGCGCGTTCCTTATTTGGTTGTGTTGTGAGGATTTGCAGCGCGTTTCTTCATTTGCATGTGTTGTGAGGATTTGCAGCGGGTGTGTTGTCAAACTGATGAAGATGTTTTCTTAATTTGCTGGTGTTTTTTCAATTTGCATGTGTTTTCTTAAGTTGCAGCGCGTTGAGCTCTCTCGGCCACCGTAGAATACACTGTAAGAAAAAATCATTTAAAAAGCAGATAATGTCCTGGCAGAAAATTACCAGTACATTTTGTGATCAAATAAATTAAGTGCGTACGTGTTTAAGTATAATATGAGAGTTTTTAGAACTTTTAAAAATAATAATTATGTATAATATAAAAAATTTTCATGCTTGATGCAGTTTTCAGAAAAAAAATACAAGTATATTTTTAAGTGTCCGCAGCATAATTCAGATGTTTTGTTATCTAAAGGTTTTATTTGAGGTGAATGAAAAATGTGTATTTATTAATATTAGGTTTATTATTTAAAACAATAGTGAAGAATGTCTATTTACATTGTCCTTACCTTGTGGATTACTGTATATCTGAGATAATACAATCAAAACCATAGGTGACAAAACAAGGATGTAGGTGGGGTTAACAGGTTAATCGTACTGATTAATGTGATGTTATCCAATGTGAAGTGGACAGAAGGAGATATCCAGCCTTACAGAAGCAGGATAGTCTGTCCTGACTGGACATTTACTCTCACTAGAGTTTTGTGTGCTCTTCTGGGTGTGGTACTGAGGTGCCGCTTCTTCCTCGTGGATGACTGAGTGTGTGACCAGAAATCCTGTCATGTGGTAGAAAATAGGTGGGTGGAACACGTACTGCCTATATGCGTATTTCATGTTTTGGTGTATGCACTCTTGTTGTGAATTGCGGATTAAAAGCAGGTAGACATTACAAAATCCAAAATGGAAAAGAATGAAGAGGCTAAAAAGAATGTAAAGGCGGGATAAAAGGACCAAACTGCATGCTGGCGCTATTTGCATTGTCATTGCGGAATGTTTTTTTTTTTTTTTCATTTCTTGAGCTCTCCTGTAATGAGAGCCGGAGAGCAGCATCTCTGCTTTTTAATGCACATTTTCCTGGCATCCGTTTTTCTGGAAACTTCATCTAAGGACAGCATATTGCAAAAAAAGGCACTCCAGACTTAAACTCAATTTTAATAAAACAGAACAGCATTTTAAAACAGTAAAAAATAATATATGAAACGTATTCATATTCATAATTTGTCAGCACACGCACTGGAAATTCTGAGTTGGCTAGACTTGGGAAGGCTAATGGAAAGAACCTGGACTTTTTGTAACTTGCACAAACTTGCACACTTCAGTTTTAACTCTGGATTTTTGAATTTTGACTTTGATTGCTGTTTTATTTAATTGTAGAATATGGTTGTTTTGAATACAGACAGACTAAATGAAATCTTAAAGAGGCTGTAGACTGTCCCGGAAGGAAATGGAGAGTAAGCCTATCAATTCATTTTTGGACAAATTAACAAACCTTTTTGCTCACCATGAAAAGCATGAACTCCAAACACTGACTGAGGAAAGTCAAGATGTGACTTCTTTTCATTATTTGACTGAGAAAGGAGATGTTAATGATAAAAAAAATAGTGTTCAGAGGCAGGATGGTTTCGATGAACAAGTGGATGCTTTTGATAAAATTGTTAAGACTTCACAAACAAATGCTGAGGAAGACAGAACAAAGGACCATGTCAACAGATCAGAGCATCAGAATGTTAATGAAATTAATGAAATTGATTTTTCTTCAGAAAAGGAGGAAGTGGATTTGGACCTGAATGTTGACCACCAAAGAGATAAGTACAATAAAACACCAGCAGCATGCCAGACTGACCAGGATGTAACAGATGGTCAAGCTGACACACCGTCTAAATCACTTAGCGAGGTCTCAGCCTGTGACAGTGCTAAAAGACTTGACAAACAACTTGATAACCCAGCACTCTGTACAGTGGATATTACTGTTTTCAGAGAAGAATCTTCAGACAATGAGCAACAGTTTGTTTCAAAAAGCAATGATAAGGATATGCGCAAAAACAGACTCAATCAGGAAATATCTGGAAATGAGACCATTGTTATGGAATCCGGTATCAGCAATGAGAAGCTGTTTGGTGTTGTGCAGAATGAGAGAGAAGAAGACCACATTGAGGAAACCAGCAGCAGCAGCAGCAAAGAAACAATGAAGATTGTCAGAGAGAACACTGAGGAAGAACCATTGAAAGACAGAGTCTGTCAGGATGTCCTCACAGACATTCAAAGTACAAATATTCCATCTGACAGAAATAATCTGGCTGATTTTTTAATAACAGAGTCTTTGAATTCATCCACAAATATCAATAATTACTTTTCAGTGCAAATTCAGCAGGAAGTATCTGCTGCTGAGAGCAGAATAGAGCCTGATGGAAATCTTCAAAACTCTGCAGATGTTCCAGAGGTAACCAAAGCTGGTGTAAATGAGCACACTCTGACTAACCACAACCAGGCATCCACAAACATGGACTTTCAGACCACTTTAACATATTGTGAAGTTGAAGATCTTTCTGCAGAATCATCTGTTGATACTGAAAAGATCCAAACAAGAGATGAGACTGCAGTTGGTCAAGCTACATGCAATGGAAGCAGCACAGAATCAGACAGCAATTTTGTGGAGGTCCATCCACCTACCACAAGCCAGAAGAACCAAATGAAACATTCTGAGACTGGAGGAGAGATTTCAGAAGGTTATGACCTCTGTGACACTGAAGAACACAGTTCATCTGACATAAATAAAAAGAATAATTTGGAACCTGAACTGTTATCTTCAGACATCCAGCTGGAGGAACAGGTGGTAAAAGTGCATACAGAAGGAGAAATGAATAAAGAGAACAAAGAAGAAGAGACCATGTTAGACATAGATTCATCTTCCACTGAGAAGACCACAACAGGCCAAACCCCTAAATCTGTAAAAGAAAACCCGCTCCAACTGTCGTCCCTCTTCACCGGGCTGCTCAGCCCCAAGAAAGAAGCGCTTGAGGAAAAAGACACTCCAGAGCAACCCCAAAGCCCTCCCAAAAGAGAACTTTTTACCGATCAGTCTAACAAGAAAGAAGTCAAGGGAGACTTCCTAGAACAGCTTACCCAATTCCTCAGCAAGGGGGAAGGAAAGAGAAAGCAAGAGAGCATGACAAGCCCCCCACTGTCTCCAAACAGTCAGGATCCTGCAGAAAAGCCAGAGACAACTGTAGAGGAGCCAGCCAATACCCAGTCTGAGGAAACAAACAAATCTACAAATGCGGAGACGGCCCTAGGTGCACTGAAGGCTTTCTTCACAGTTAAATCTGCCAAGAAAGACACTTCAAATCACATGGACCTGGACACTGTAAAGAGGAAGATCAAACAGGGACAAAGACGTCCTCAAAGCCTTCTTTGATAGGAGGAGCTCAAGCCAGTCTCCAGACAACAAAGAAACTACTGATTCCAAAGTATGAAGTGAACAGATGATTGCATTTATTGGTAGCATCTCAGTATCAATACATGTGAAAAGTCTTATTTTATGTGCACCTACAAAATGTAATCATTTTATTTTTATTTTAGTTATTTTATTTTAATAGGTCCTTTAACTTCAACGGTACAATGCACATTAACTGTGGCTGTTTTTTGTCATAGGCTGAGGTGAGTGAGGAGCACACCCCAAAGCGACTTCAGACTGTTTGGCCTCCACCGAAACCCAAATACGAAGAGGAAAAGATTGGTCTAAAATACACTGAAGCTGGTAAGGGCTTATTGAATAATCAGAAACAACAGCAGTAAGTGTAAATGTTTGCTCCGATTCCATATTTGCAACACTGTTCAAACAAATTCCGATGCACCTCCACCCAAAATGTGTTCCTAAAGGGCAGTTCTACAGATGAAATAACTCAATGTCACATTATTTGTTACTTGTAAGACTATATGTTTTCTCAGCAATGCATTTTCTAATCTTGCGCCATTGGAAATTAGATAAATGTGTGCATTCAATACTATATAGTTTTATAATCACCCCTTACTGACAGTTCCATTGCCTGTACTACAGTGTCTTATAGATTTAAAGGGTGTGGAGTCCACAGCCACACCTAAGCACACACAGTCAGAGTGGTGTTGTCATATGTCTTGGTATGATTATACTTGAGGAAATTAGTTCTCTTGACAGTTTTTCCCATGGTTCTTCTCTAAACAAGGCCGCGATCATCCCTATATAACAGGCCCACCACTGCCATCTATTGGAAATTTTACGTCTGCAATATTTGATGGATATCCAATTCTTCGTCCCATATACAATAAGAGTAAGATCGTTTTTTTTCGGCAAGGATGCATTAAATTGATCAAAATTGGCAAATAATACAATAATGTTACAAAAGATTTTAAAATATATTAAAATAGAAAACATTTTTTTTAGTTGTAATAGTATTTCACGGCATTACTGTTTTTGATCAAATGTAGCCTTGGTGAACATAAGAGATGTCTTTCAAATTAAAAAACTTTTGAACAGTATAGTGTATACGTACATATTATTCCATATCTTTATATATTATGGCATAGAGATCTGTTTTATAGGGTTTCTGGCACTATTTAATGGTTTTTGTGATACATTTAGTCACAATGTCTTTGTTTTATGTTCTCAGAGCATCAGGCAGCTCTTCTGCAGCTAAAAAGAGAATGTAATGAAGAGGTGGAGAAGTTACAGGTGAGAAGCTCACGAAAACAAAAGTATATGGGAATATTTTACTAATAGCATCAAGAATTTGAAATCTCTGCAACAATTTGTGCTTTTAAAGCATAGTATTCTGCTTATTGAAAGTAGTTATGCTTTGTTTCCTTTTGAGAATAACATTTCACAAAAATAGTTTTTTTAGGTTTAACATAAATAGCAAATATATTGCGCCCTCTGCTAGCATTTAACTGTGTATGCATACATTTACATTATATTTAGCAGACACTTATATTATACATTTTCTATCAGTTCATGCATTCTCTGGGAGGAAAAAAATGTTTATATACTATATGTTGTGGCTTGGACTTTTTAATGCAGGCCGACTTCAAACTTGAGCTCTTCCGGTTACAAAAGAAGAACGAAGAGGATCTGTCCAGACTAGGATCAACCATTGCCAGCTTACAAAGAGAGAGAGAGACAAAGAGAGAGGCAGAGATCACAGAGATGTTGCTGTGTCCACTGACGACAACATCAAACCACGGGCCTTCCGCTCTGTGTGTATTCAGACAGAAAGAGAGACCAAGGAAGATGCCAAGGAAGCCCAGAGCAGGAGTTTTGACCCCCTGCCTAAAAATGCTGACCTCAACTCAACAAAAATCTTTACTGGCAAACAAAAGACAGTTCCTCCTCCAGCTCCTCCACCTGTATCGCTTCAGTTACAGATGGATAGCAACAATACTCCACCCCCTCCTCCTCGCCAGCTTACAAAGAGAGAGAGAGACAAAGAGAGAGGCAGAGATCACAGAGATGTTGCTGTGTCCACTGACGACAACATCAAACCACGGGCCTTCCGCTCTGTGTGTATTCAGACAGAAAGAGAGACCAAGGAAGATGCCAAGGAAGCCCAGAGCAGGAGTTTTGACCCCCTGCCTAAAAATGCTGACCTCAACTCAACAAAAATCTTTACTGGCAAACAAAAGACAGCTCCTCCACCTGTATCGCTTCAGTTACGATGGATAGCAACAATACTCCACCCCCTCCTCCTCCTCCTCCTCCTCCTCCTCTTCCAACAGGCCCTTGTACTCCTAATGTACCTCCACTTCCTGCTCAGCCACTAGATAGGCCAGGAAGTGTGCCTCCTCCACCACCTCCACCAATGACAGGATGTGGTCTGCCACCACCCGTCCTCCACTCTGTCCCCCCTCCCCCTCCTCCTGGAGTTGGTATCTTCCCCAGTAAAGCAGCAGACAATCCTCCTCGCAAGCCGTCAATGGAGCCAGTCTGTCCAATGAAACCACTGTACTGGACACGAATACAGATTCAAGATCACAGGTATTTCTTATCACCTTGCCTCATATTTTAATTGACGCAGGTCAATAACATAGGAGTTTGTTTTCTTTAATTGTGCTTTTTTTATTGTTTAATATATTTTAGTTTCTTTATAAAGAGCTTATCAAACCTTTATAAAAACCTTATCAAAAGGATGAAATTCTTGAAACTTTTATTAGTTCATTTTATGTCTTATTCAAAAAAGTAAATAATATTTGAACAAATCTACTTCACTGCAGAGGCATGGTGCGATCAACATGCAGAAGCATAAAAAAATTATATGTTCAAGAAGGCCCCCATGACTGTCTGTCAAAATAAATAAATCTCTGAAAATATCAGATACATATTTAAAGTAGATTTTTAAAAGAATTTTCCTTTTTCTTTTTTTTATCATTGTCACACTTATATGTCATTGACCCAAACACAAATATGTAAATTGTATTATTATAAACTGAATACAGGTCAAATGAGACACTTCTGGTCTTTCATCACTTGCATTGTTTTAAGACAAAGTGCTCAGCCACTGACACAATCTGTATTCATTTAGTGTTATTAATACAATATTATAGTGTTTTTTTATATTTTGAATTAGCTTTTATTTTTATATCTTCAGTTTTCATTTTAATGTTATTTTTAGAAATGTTGGTATTTGCTTTTGTCATTTATAAGTTTTTTAAAATATTTCTATATAGCTTCAATTTTCTTTTATTTCAGTTTTAGTTTTAGTAATTTTTTACTTCAATGTAAACTTATTTTATTTCAGTTAGTTGCCAAGAAGACATTTTCATTTTTTTTTAAGTTTCGTAAGTTTAAGTTTTTCATCTAATATTTATATTTTATTTTATTTCAGCTTTATTTCAATTAGCAAAACTTAATTTTAAAAGTTTTAGTTAACAATAACAACAATTGACACAATGTGCTTTTAAATAGCAAATAACTGCTCTAAACTAAATATAAAACCTTAAAAAAAACATCATCCCACTCTACCTGTATTCCATATAAACATTTCCATTGTTCTTAACATTCCTCAAACACACAATGTCCACAAGTGACGCTGACATTTTCAGCTCTCCCTCGTCAGACCTCATGGGAAGTTTAAGACAGACCGCTGCAGACATTTGTCTGCATGAGGGGCCAGCCACAGGCCGAGCGGCAGTCTTTCCAGGACCTCTAGTGGCGGTGTGAATTTCTGTGGCATTCAGCTCCCCGGCCACCTCTGTGCTGTTGCAATGTTATTTGACTCCTCATGAAAGCTTTCTGCTCTCTCCGTGAGCAGTTTGTCAGGCCAAAGGCGAACCCAGTCAAGCTTAGCTGTGCGCCGTCATCCTGGCTCCTTAATTATTTTTATGGGAGAAAATTTAGCAAAATAGATGACTCACTTTGAGCCCCTGTTGATTTTCCTTTTCCTGCTTTTAGGCATGGTTACCCAGCAACAGTAAATAACTCATGTAACTTTGGTTTTTACAGATGTCAGTTTTAGGAAATGCTTTGGTCATGGTTCTGTGACTCCAGTCAAGCTTAGCTGTGCGCCGTCATCCTGGCTCCTTAATTATTTTTATGGGAGAGAAAATTTAGCAAATCAGATGACTCACTTTGAGCCCCTGTTGATTTTCCTTTTCCTGCTTTTAGGCATGGTTACCCAGCAACAGTAAATAACTCATGTAACTTTGGTTTTTACAGATGTCAGTTTTAGGAAATGCTTTGGTCATGGCCTGTTCTGTGACTTTGAAGTGTGAAGATTCAGTCGCTATAAGCTTTAAACTGAGCAGAAACTGTTGCAAAGGCCAAATATTTGAAAAACAAAATCTCTTGTCATCTGTTTGTCTTTTCTAAGGAACAATATGCTATGGAGTTCCCTGGAAGAGCCAGAGATAATAAACACCAATGAGTTTGCGGAACTGTTTGCTAAAGCCACATCGCCCACCAAAAGAAAGCCCCTATCCAAAGCCTATGAGAAGAAAACCAAAGCCAGGAAGGTACCGCTCTTGCCTGAAGATGAGAAAAATGATTATTACATAGATATTTATATCGCAAATGCGAGGTTGTGGTTTGATTTATCTAATTAAAAAGAAATTCACATGCACTTTAAGTCGCTTTGGATAAAAGTGTCTGCCAAAATGCACAAATGTAATGTATTGCTCAATAGGTTTAGAAATTACATATTTGAGAAGTGTCCACTAGGTGGAGCAGTTTCCAACACTTCCGAATTATATATTACTTGAACACTAGCATACCTGATGCATTCATTCAGTCACCTCTGATAATTACAATTAATTGTTTCTATAAACAAAAACGTAATTTATCAGGTGCTGTCACTTGATAGAATCTGCAAATTTTTATATAAATGCTTATGTGTAATTTCAGGATCCCACCAATGCCTTTGAAATTGACATAATTATATAGGAAATGGGAATGATTTGAAATAAATGAACCTGTTTATGAAATGTGATCATGCCATTGTTACCTTTGGCCGGCGGTTTTTATAATGGAAGTTTGGAATTTCCCAAAGGTTCTTTTGTTATTCATTCATTCCACTTTTGCATAATACAAGCATGAGTCTTTGCGTTCGAATGGTAGAGTAAGCAGAATGCACTTAACTTCTGATCTGAAGTGAAATGTGAAGTGAAATGCTATTCTGTGCTGGGGTTTGTCTTGTGAATGTGGATTTTTTTAAAACTTTTTTAGGTCATTAAATTACTGGATGGCAAGCGCTCTCAGGCCGTGGGCATCCTAATCTCAAGTCTCCATCTGGAGATGAAGGACATCCAGCAAGGTAAATCACACTGAACAGCCTCATATATGCTGAGAAATATTCGACCACCAGCTCAGCAGAGTGTCATTTTATTCTATCCAGACTCATTTTTTCTCCACTAATAATAAACAGACATGTTAAAATGATACATATTTGTGTGGCCTGGATGGCAAAAGGCAAGCTAAGACATGATGTTGAAATAATTCTGTATATAGAGACATATCTCGTGATTGGCTCCAGCTCTTATTAAGGATAAATTGGCTGTATGTTCATTAAATAAACTTGTCTTGTGGTTTACCACTAGAAATATTCTTTGGGTTTTCCACATTATGGTGTGTACATTAGTCCTACTTACTAAATGTATACTTTTCACATTGACAATCTTGAAGTCATCACAGCTTGGCTTAACGGAGTCAAGACAGGCAGATGTTTTTGATGACTTTAGTAAATTGAGCAGTGAATTCCTACAGGAAAAAAAGCTCTCAAATACATATTTAGCAACTTTTAAATTCGCATATCACATCCGTGACATGCACATGTCCAAGAACTAATCAGTCTTCTTGTCTAGAGGCTAATACTTCTTCCTTACACAGCTGTTTTGACTCTGGACAATTCTGTGGTTGACTTGGATGCTATTGAAGCCCTGTATGAAAATGTAAGTACCCTGCCACACTGGGAAATGTACTTATGTACAGGCCCATGCTGAATCCCAGCCTCCAAAACAGTAGTTTTGTGCAGAATTTGAACATCCATCATTCGCAAAGTTCTGCATATCCTGCACCCCTTTCTCTATTTTTCTTTTAAAAATAGCAAAAATAGAGGATATGACGAGGTTCTTACAATAAAAGTGAACGAGGCCATTGTTTGAAGGATTTAAAAGCAGAAACGTGGAGATTATAATTTTATTTAAAGCACACTAATTATTCTTGTGTATCCATTTTTACAGTCTTTTTAGGGTTTATGGTGCATGTTGTCATGGTGACAAAGTTGTAAAATTGTATAGAATCTTGCACTGAAAAGGTTAGAAAGCAACTAAATGGAGCTTGTAATGAACCAAACATATTCTTTGAAATTACTGTATTTAACCATTTTACTGTATTTAAATCCATTCCACTCACATTTCTGAACAAAATCACTCCAGAAAATGCACATAAAGTCTGCAGATTCTGTATCACCCTGCTTTTCGCTGTAGTTCCAGTTCCAACGTAACTAAATAACTGATAGTTCCTGTGTGGTTTCATAAGTGTATGTGCGTATCATTGGTCAGTTGTCATATGATTGCGTCTGTTCTGTTTCTCCCAGAGAGCTCAGCCTGAGGAGTTAGAGAAGATTAAGAAACACTATGAAACCTCAGACGAGGAGCAGGTAAAACTACTGGACAAGCCTGAACAGTGAGATATTCCAGAAACACACCAGATAACTCACTTTTTCATGCAACTTGCGACTAGTGATACATCAGTTGCCACTTACAAGGGCACTTTTTGCAATGTATACTTCTCTAAGGTTCCTTCATTTGAGGGCAGACGAAGACAGAGTAGTGTTTTCAACACTACGCACTTTAGGTTGACAGATGTTCTTTGCTTTTCCTTGACAGGTTCCTGTATGAACTCTCCAAGATCCCTGAGTTCTCCAGTCGAGTTCACTGTTTAATTTTTCAGTCTAAGTTCACTGACGCTGTTGCCTCCATACAGCGCAAGACTGAGATTATTCTTCACGTCTGCAAGGTACAAAGGCACTTTTCAAAGGGGTCAGACCTCAGATATTATCAAACATTTGATAAAGTACCAATGCTGGCATTCTTAACAGTCAAAAAACAGTCCTTCAGGCAACTGCCGTTTATTCAAGTGAGGTCTAAGTGCATGCTTTGTCTCCAACATCTCCATTATGGCGAGCGATAAATGCACAAATACATGTTGATGTGTTTTAGTATCTGTTGGAGAAAGACAGTATGAGGGAGGTGATGGGACTGGTGCTTGCTCTGGGAAACTACATGAATGGAGGCAGCAACACTTGAGGACAGGCCGTCGGCTTCAGGCTTGAGATACTTCCCAAGCTTAAAGACGTCAAGAGCAGGGTAATATTTTTCTCCATTTCATGAGCCCATGTTTGACACTGAAGGCCCTAGCCGCACACAAACACACTGAGGTTTGATAGAGCCTCAATTTGTTTTTTCTGTTTGCTAGTGGTTTGTACAGGATGATGCACGTTTTTGTCATAATTCCCTATAAATCTACAGGAAAACCACATGAGTTTGTTGGACTACATTGATTCCTACTATCTGCATCACCTTGATAAGGTAAAGCATGAACATGTAATTCTTCACATGCAATGTTTTATTTTGCACAGTGCTGGTAACATTGTTTTCAGGGTCAATGACATGACTCATTTTTCTATTCATTAATTAATTATTTATTTTCTGTTAATTTATTCAGTGATACATGAAAAAATCTTTCAATTTTTTCTTAAAAATGTTATTAAAGGTTTTTGAAACTTACATGAATAAAAAGAGTAAAGTACTGTTCAAAAGTTTGGGATCAATGTGATATTTTTTTTTTTTTTACTTTTTATACAATCAATGTCACATTAAATTGATCAATTTATAATGTTACAAAAGATTTCTATTTAAAATAAATGCTGTTCTTTTGAACTTTCTATTTGTCAGAGAATCCTGGGGGAAAAAAAGTATCATTCCACAATGTTCCACAATAATATTAAGCAGCACAACTTTTCAACATTGATAATAATAAGAAATGCTTCTTGATCTCAATCAAATCAGCATGTTAGAATGATTTCTGAAGGATCGTGTGACACTGAAGACTGGAGTAATGGCTGCTGAAAATTCAGCTTTACCATCACAGGAACAAATTACATTTTAAAATATATGAAAATAAAAACAGTTATTTTAAGTTATAATAATATTTCACAATATTACTGTTTCTACAGTATTTTTGATCAAATAAATCCAGCCTTGGTGAGCATAAGAGACTTCTTTTAAAAACATTAAAAATATCTTACCAACCCCAAACTTTTAAATGCTGTACATTTCTAAAAATTTTATACATGTGTTTTAATCTAGATTTTTAAGTCTTCTCTTTATTATGTCACCGACCCTTAAATCTCTTTTCAGAATGCTGGGACAGAAAAGAGCATCTTTCCTTTGCCCGAACCTCAAGATGTTTTCCTTTCCTCTCAAGTGAAGTTTGATGACCTCTCAAAGGACCTGAGGAAGCTGAACAGAGACCTCACAGGTAAGAATGACCAAAAACACTCTCAAGGGCTTCAGAAACGATTTTAGCATGCCACTGATTTACTATAGCTTCAAAAGAAGCAAGATTACATGGGTTTGGGTGGATGAAGGACTACAATCCTGCAACATGGCTCCAGCTCAATCCTGAAGACTTTACAGCATCTGTTAGCAACGTCTCGGTTACGTATGGTAACCCTCGTTCCCTGAAGGAGGGAACGGAGACGATCTCGCTTAGAGAGACCAATCTACTTCGAGTGTAAACTAAACGAGCCAATGCACATTGGCATGCGATTATTGCATCCAGCTGCCGCTGATCACAGCGTGAGTATAAGTAGGCAGCAGATGCAGCGCATATTCAGCTTTTCGCTGAGGAGCCGAGCCGGTGACCCGGCCGCTCAGCGGTGGTACAGGAGCTGTGGCGACCGGACGTGACGTCTCCGTTCCCTCCTTCAGGGAACGAGGATTACCATAATGTGCATTGGCTCGTTTAGTTTACACTCGAAGTAGATTGGTCTCTCTAAGCGAGATCCCAATTTCGTCGGTCATCCGACGTGACGTCGAGAGTGACCGACTGAAAGGGAACAACTCATTATTAAATGACATTAGATCAGGTGGAATATACGGACATGTTTGCGTATGTACATCATGTGCAGGCACAGATGCAGAGACGAAGTGGAGTCTGTGTGATTTTGCCCTGGCGCCTTTTAGATATGACTTTAATCCTGCCCATCAGATGCTTCTGGCATTGTGTGATTCTTTAACTCCGTCAGAGGGGCCAAAGACTACAGTGCTTTGGCGCTTCTGTAATCTGAGAGAGGAGCAGTTTATCGCTGGTGGGATGGGCTTTATCTGTACAGAGATGCACTGCCGTTCTCGTGCTACACTGTATCAGTCCGAGTTCAGTGTGGCCCTGCAGATGTGTGTCAGAGATTCTTTTCTTTACCTCTCAACAAGCCTTTCTTATCGGGCGACGGAGAGACTGCCAAATCTGGCCCATCGCGCTCTCCCTTTTTTCCCTGCTGTTTGAACTCCCCTCATGACTGCGAGAGAATCATGTCTTTGTTTTTTTGTTTTTTGTGCTGTGTTTGTTCGATTTTTGGTGTATTGGGTGCATTACTTACGGCCCCACTGAGGTTTTGGCTGCTCAAGGTGACCGCATTTGTCTGTGATGTTATTCTGTGGAGCAAGAAAGTGCTGCACTAATCAAATTAGTCACTGTGTGCCTACACAAAAAGGGAATGTCCCTGTGATTTTATTTTCCAGAGACAATTATGACAACATTGTGAAGCACATCTAATGCTCTCAGTCTCCACAGCTGATTCATCTGGTTTGCGTTTGAGACATTTTTTGATCTCTTTGTGATTGTGGTTTGGCTCGCCACAGTGCACTGTTGAGAAAACCTGAATGTAGCTACGAGCCGCCATGGAGGAAACTATATAAGGACCTAATCAAGCTAGACTGTAATTAATTGATATTTCTTGTAGAAATGCTGTGGGAAAGATACACGACTTCTTCGTCATTGCCAGCTGTGTTCACAGTTTACACAAATGCTTAATGAAAACAGTAGTGTGTGTAGCCTTATCTGGAGTGAGATGCAGATGGAACGTGTCCAACAGTCCTGGGTTCCCATCAGGGTGTATTATGACTGGGGCAGGAGACTGGCTCCTCTGATCCTCTGATTGGACGGTGAACAAACTGAGATCTTACCCAGAGAAAAAGACATTTGATAACTTCTGATTCTGTAACAGGTGGAGCTTCAGCTCTATTGTGTGTTCTTGTTCATTGGTTAGAGGCGGTATGTTAGGAACAAGTGCAAACAAAAAAGGTTTAAAGGGATAGTTTATAACTATTCTCATTTGTTTATAACACAAGGAAAATAAAGCAATTACTCTAATTAGCTTGTCACAGTTTCATAGACAGTACAATATCAAACATACCTACAGTAGAATGCTGTCGCTCAACTTGTTTTTAGACTTGGGAAATTCCCTCATGTTGCACATTTTCACATTAACTGCTCATAATCAAAATCAATTTACTGTAATCATTGTTTTTACAGATGTAATCGGCATAATTCACTGCGGTGATGTCGTAATTAAGGCACTAACAGAATTTGCTTTATCAGCCGAAAGCTATTCATTCCATCTGCAAGTAATCAGTGATGTTTTAATGGCTTTGACGACAGTAGCTGTGATTTTATATGGCTTGATAAAACCATCTTAAGCTGAAGTTGCTGAAGCTGGTTAATTCCTGGTAAAAAAAAAAAAAAGCACTCCAAATTGTGGCAAGAGTGACAAACATGACCACATACATTATATTTAAAATATGTTTTTATTAAAATTTGTATTGGTTTCACCAATAATATATTTTATTTGATCAAAAATACAGTAAAAATATATTATTATTAATAATAATAATATATTAATTTTGATATATTATTATTATAATTTAAAGTAACTGTTTTCTATTTTAATATATTTAAAAAATTAATATATTCATGTGATGGCAAATTTTAAAATAATCACATTTTGTTGCTTTGCAGCCTGAAATTAAGACGTTTTTGTTTTATCCAGCTGTATTTACTCAACATGCAAGTGAAAGATATAACACCAACATGTCAGAAAACAATTGAAAAATAAAAAACCAGAATCACTGAGTTGGAAAACTTTTCCTCTTTTAACCGCTGTGTGGTCAGTTTTGCTGTGTGCTTTGGTTCATTGTTATGTTGGAAGGTAAACCTTCTTCCAACTGACAACTTTCTGGCAGAGGGCAGCAGATTTTCCTCAAGAATTTGACGGTATTTTGCCCCATCCATTTTTCCTTCTATTTAATGTACATTACATTTCATGTACATTTATATTACATTTAATGTTATATAAATGTACACTTTATTTTAAATCACCTAGTGAGAAGGCATCTGCAAATAACATAATATTTTAGAAATTCTACTTGCTCCATAATGGCATTTATTCTTCGAGATCTGGGTTATTGGAGAAAAAAAAAGTAAGCGCTCATGGTGGTCTAACAGAAAAAAAAATCTGACTGTTTATTTTTGGTTAAAATATTGCGTTAAAGTTAGTGTAAGCTTTGTTTTACAATGAATGACTTTTTCAAATTGGACCTGGTTGGGGACTTTAACCCAATGTTATTGTTTTTGTCTCGCACAGTTTGTGAAAAGGATGTCCTAACTGTGTGTACCAACTCATCTCATGAGCACATACATCCCTTCAAGGAGAAAATTGAATTTTTCAATGCCAACGGTGAGCTATGCTAAAATGCATGAGATTAGCCCCCATTACCTTTTACAAGAGGATCTGTAGTTTTTAAGTCTTCTATTCTTCAATCCCTCTCGTCTACCTTGTTCAGATATGAAGTCTAGTTGGTCTCTGAGGCGACCTGCTTCTCTAGATGATTGATGGAAAGAGTACAAAAGTTTGCTGAGATTGTATACAGGATTGTTTTGTTTTGCAGATCATAGAGGCAGATATATGGAGATATAAACTTGCTGTCATTTACTACAGTACAGCTGGACAAGACAACACTAGCTGTAGTGAACTAGACAAATAATATTTATTCTGTTTGTAGTTTATGTATATATTTATATACATGTTTATGTTATGTACATAGCACCAAAGCTTTTCCTTTCCTCACTACAATCTCTGCTACACAGATAAGACGGCACACATCCTGCAGTCATGAAGAATATCTGCCATGTGCCCTTTTGGGGACCTGATAAGTGTCTGTGACTCCGTACCTGTACGAGATAGCTGGTCAGGTTCAGAAGACAGACGCAGAGATAGGAATCAGGGAGACTTTGGCAATGGAGGAGACTTCTTAGTAAAGGAGTTTCAACATTGTCTTTGAGGCCCTTGTAGAAAGGCTATGAATAATATGACAATAATGCTTTTTGTAGTATGACTGACAGAGCAGTGCATTATCGCTGTTAAAGAGGTAAAATGAAGATCCTAAAGTAATAGAAGAGATATTGGCTCTTGATATTGACTGTGGTACTGATTATGATATAATCTAAATGCAAATTTCCTAATTGGCTAATTGTTGATATACATTTTTCCTTTTACAGCACAAACAGAGCTAATTACTGTGGAACATCAAGTGATATCGGCACGTAAAAGGTAGCACATCACTCTTGTTCCAAATATTACAAAAAATGCAAACTTCATAAACATTTTTGACATTAACTCCAGCTTTGCCCCATGTCTTTCCTTCCTCAGCTTCTCTGACCTAGTGGAGTACTTTGGACTGAAGCCACGTTCCGGAGAGCAAGAAATTGTGCCTGGCCATGTTTTCACACTTTGGTTTGAATTCTGCAATGATTTCAAGATCAGATGGAAGAGAGAGAACAAGGTCATATCAAAACAGAGGTGAGACGTTAATAGCATCTTGAGAATCTATAGCATCATAATTTGTGCTTTACAACTGCTCTGACCAACCGCACAGTGTGATAACCTAGTTAATGGTAACTTCTTCACTGGCGGTTGTTGTTTTTAGTGAATTTCAGTATTAAAACATTTGAAACATTACATTACGGTTACGTAAAATACAATCTGTGCTCTTTTTGACTTCAGAATCAAAGAGGCCCAACAGTCAGTGCGCAACATGACAGCAGAGAAGAAGATTGAGACCAGACAGGCACATGCGAATGGACTGGTAAGAGTCTGCCTTCATCCTTGCTGAGGTGTGGGTGGCAGATAGATAAGTGGTTCAAACACTAGTGACTATTGTACTTTAATGAATCAGGTTTTTAAAACCTTTCTGACTCTTATTAAAGGAATAGTTCACCCACAAAATGAAATATTGCTGAAAATTTACTCTCTTTACCCTCAGGCCATCCAAGAAGTAGATGAGTTACTTCATCAGAACAGATTTGGAGAGCTTTATCATTACATCACTTGCTCACCAGTGGATCCTCTGCAGTGAATGGGTGCCGTCAGAATGAGAGTTTAGGCAGCTGATAAAAACATCACAATAATCCACATGACTCCAGTCCATCAATTAATGTCCTGTGAAGTGAAATGCAGCGTGTTTGTAAGAAACAAATCCATCATTAAGACCGTCGCTTCCGACCATAATCCATAAAGTTAAAGGGGTCATATGATGCTTTTTTAAAGATCATTATTTTGTGTATTGAACATTTTGGCGGCGTTATGCAAATCTTCCCAGATAGTGATGTAGATATGTGGGGGCGTGTTAGAATGAGCCGTTTTAGGGGGGCGTGGCAGAGTCTTAACTTTGATAAAGAATATCTCTTTGGTTTTGAGACTTTAGTCTTTGCAACTTCAGGGATCTTATCTATGCACAACCAGCTTGTAACACTCCAAAGAGAAAGGAAAACTTGAAATCGCATCATATGACCCCTTTAAAAGTTTAAAGTTAAAACGCCTTAATATTTAATTTGTTTATTACAGACAGCTTTTCACTTCACAAGACTTTAATTGATGGACTGGAGTCATGTTGATTACTTGTGGATTATTGGGAAGTTTTTATCAGCTGTTTAGACTCTCGTTCTGCTGGCACCCATTCACTGCAGAGGATCCATTGGTGAGCAAGATGCAATGATAAACTTCTTCAAATCTGTAGAAACACGGTCAAGTACAACTTGGATGACCTGGTTCAGTAAATTTTCTGAAAATTTTCATTTTGGGGTGAACTAATCCCTTATACTACCAAATGCATGCACAGCTAAATGGGACTTCATAATGATGCATGTTTCTGCATATTTCAGAAAGAGAGATTGCGTCTTAAAGAAGCAAGTCTGACCACCAGCTAACCCCCTCTGCCATTTCCAAAGGGGACCAGATACGTTTATATTTAAGACCCAGGCACTTGCATTTTTGGCAGGGTCAGAATGAAGTGCACCTGCTTGTGTGACACTTTTCCACCAGATTGCAAGTTAGAGGATGATAGTCTTTCAGTGTAGTGGATCCTGTGTATAACCCAACAACAAATCACTCACCAAAAATACCTTTGACCATGTTTCAGATATGAATGTTCAAAATGAGAAACATTTAAGAAATGTTTATATTGCAAGTTAGCTCGATCTGTTCTGGGATTTTCATCAGTCTAAACAATTAAGGGTTGAAAAAAGCAATCTCGATATTTGACTTGGAAAAGGCAGTAACTTTATTTTGTATATTGAGTAACAAAGTTGAGTAACTTTTTATGGTCATTAAATCAATACAGGAATATTACAAAGCAAAGATAATGTACGTTAAAAAATATCATATTAAACTACCCTATCAGTTTTATTTTGATAAACATCACATTTTTATTGATGACAGTTATGTTGCTTCACATCTTATTGCCATTTAATCACAGTAATATTGTTCCTTTTACACTAAATGCAACACTGTAAAAAGTTTTTATTAATACAAAAACAATTTTCCATGCATCTAACTTATTTTCTGTAATGTTTGTTCACCTAGATTTTCTTCATCAATTGATTAAAAAGGCTGTAACTTGACACCACATTCTTTTTACATTGCAGTATTGTATAAAGACCAGGAATAAATATGATGGAATGGATTTGGAAAAAAAAAAACTTGCTTATATGTAATGTATCCTATATTACAAATCAAGCCACAAAACAAGCTATTTGCGTCAATGCGCAAATTTTGCTCCACACAGTGGAGAATAATATAATAATATAAGCATATTTTTAATGTCACTATTTTATAGTATTATAACTTATCCAACTTGTTGTACATTTACTTGCATCAATTCTATTTCTTCACAATATAAAGGACATATTTTGATGACTGAAGAACTAATGGAGGAAACAAATCGATCATGCTCCTACATTATTCAGCTGTAGGAATTTGTGACTTTCAGACAAACATACAGAAGTAGCCTACAACAATGACGTCAGCGAGTTTAATCCAAGTCGACAGAAGTACAGCGGCACTGTTTCACGCGGCGCACGCGCTTCTTCTTGGTGCTGGGAGTTTGCCCGGGACAGATGAGCGTGTAAGTCACGGTAGTGAAACTCTTTGGCTTACACACGGAGCACGACTGAAACGCACTGTCCTCTTGATAAACGTGCCGAGGTATGTAGAAAGAGTTGCACTGTCCGTAACAAAAGCGGTTGATGATGGCGCGCGGCTGGCACCCGTCCTCGTAGATCATCAGTTTCAGCGGCTGCGTTTTACACCAGTCAAGTTTGAGGTAACTGCGCTCCGTTATGTGTAAAGCCTCCTGACTGGAGTCCAATACCTCGTCCCCGACTGAAGGCGGTCCCGTTCCCCTGGAACTGGCCTGTGGTGACTGTTCCGACTGGTTTGGGCTGTATTTATTTGGGTGAGGAATGGCGCCTTGAAATCCCCCGGTTCCCCTAATACTCGCCGGATTGCAGAGCAGCCACAAGACCACGATAGTGACAGCTAATGCGTCTTTAGTCATCCTTTCACATGAAAAAAGAAACCTAACATTAAATGTCATCATTTTTTTATTTAAGTGTTTTTTTTATACAAATATGCTATATTATTTTATCAAAAATTTCATTTATAAAATTAACACAACTTCCTAAGCATATAAGATTCAGAATCATTTTAACATTTACATTTTTATATACATTTCCTAATTCCTTTTTGGTAATTCCCTCTGGCAACTAATTTCTATAAACGCATTTCACAAAAACCATACAGATGCGATTTGAAAATATATATGTATATATATTCCAGTAGATATGCAGACTTACCTCAGATTAATAATGGTTCAAACTTCTTCACATGGACTGCAGCTATGTTCACAAAGGTCTTTGTATACCATAACAAACTATGATTAAAAATAGGTTAAACCAAATGATCCAGAACTCAGAATCAAGAGTCAAAATAAGGTCTGGAGCTCTGTTCTGAGTGCTGACATTTAAAGAGAATGGGGCAGTCCACGCCTCTATGGTTCACAGCATTTTAGGGATGGTCCAGTGCTTTAAGAGAGTAAGGAACTTCATGATGAATGCATATTGTGATGTTTGTAATTTAGAAGAATCATGAAGTTAAAAACACATGTCTCGAATTTTCTGCACATGAACATATACAATATTTTTATTTGATTAAATGTTATTACAACAAAAGTTGTGCCAAGAGAATAATCATTCATTTTACAGTCACCCTTTGCTGCTCTATTAATAATATGATTCAATTGAATATCACACATAATTTAATGCTGACTTTACTGTGAAACTGTTAAGATTTTCATTGTACAGATTTTATAAATAACACAATGTTTAGGTCTTGATATTGCTTGTAGCAGTTTCAACCTCATCTTCCTCTGGGAAATGTGGCACTGATTTCTTGGCCACCACGTTATCCAGCCTCTGTCCCATCAGATATGGATTTGTACTCTGAAACACATTCAGTGACACATCCTGTGACATTTTTTCTGAAAATGCAACATGTATATGCAACAGTGCTCCATCTAATAGTTCATGTGTTGAGCGTCTGCTGACAAAGAATCAACCAAAAGGCATAGAAAATTATATTCATTGCTTACCCTTTTTCTTCGTTTTGGTCCACCCTTCAGTTTTTCATACAACAGTCCTTTATTCTGAAAGAATGAAAATAGATATTTAGTGCAGTCTGCTACAGACCAGAATCTTGGGCTATTTTGCTTCATGTTTCACACTGCTCATAATTTTTCCGGGTTAACAATTAATCCTGTGTATTCAAAAGATGACATTTCACACAGTACATTACTAAACCTCACGTTAACGTTCTTAACTGCATATTGGCAGTGTCGATGTCATTGATTGGACAAACGCAGCATGCTACCTGTTTACATAATGGCGTTAGCATTGCGCATCCTCATACTATATATTGCTAACAGTACTATTAAGTTTTAATGAATGGACTTTTCGGATTATAAAGGTAACTATGAAAAGGTCTCTTCTTTACTCCAGTTTCCATGTTTTCGGTCATCATTTGAACTTTGACATTACCTTTACACGGGGTTAAAAGCGGGGTTTACAACAACGATAACCAGGGGTTAAGTGCAGTGTGAAAAGCCCTTAAATGATTCAATCATTTTATTTAAATGAAAAATCAGAAGTCTCCTCCAGCCTGTTTCAAGGTGTCAAGTGTGAACTCACCCACTTCGCCAGTGCAGGGTAGTCATGCTCGGGGTCAAAGAGGTGCTGATGTTTCTGGAATTCTCGACTGAACTCTGCAGTGTCTGGAGAGTTCTCTAAACATCCATCAGCAGCTATAAAATCATCACATTTTTTAAACAGAGAGGGATGTACCCCATTCTCTGTGAATGTTTAGACCATTCAAAAAGTTTAGAGTTGTCATTCCTTTGGGAGAATATGGTAAACACCTTCAATCTAATCAAATATTGAACACATTTTCTTTGCCTCAAAAAAATTATTCCTCTTTCGATTATTCAAAGTGAATGGTGGCACCACTATATATTTGAGCATTCGATTGCACTTGGATCAGCATACCAGTCTTTCCAAGGGGGCAAGGATTGGGAGGGTCAGGGTAGCTATGGTCCTCGCTGAAGTCTTTGGGAACACTGTCTCCAGTTAACTCTGCAACAATGTTAGGGATGTTCCCATATGGCCCGAGATGTTGGAGTCCCTCATGGGCACCACCTATTGGACAAAGTGTAAAATTACACCTGAAGGCAACCACACAATGAGGAGTATTATAAGGACAACCTATTAATCTCAGTGATCATTTACATTTTAAAAAAAACGTGCAATTGCCAACAATGAGAAACTCTTACCTTGGATGCTGAGTGGACCGACTATGTTGGTGGCCTGATGCGCGGGATACTCGACCCTGGGCCGCGCGATTCCCAGCTGCTCCATCACACCGTGAAGCAGGCGCTGGATATCCGCCTCCGACACCTGATCCACCGTGCGTGGACTGCGGCCAGAAACGACGGCCATCGAGCTAATGATGACACTCAGAAGAACTGTGTGTGTCATTTTCGGAACCGAACCCATCGTTGACGTTCACTAAACACCGACAATTAGCAACATGTAGTGGAAAATTATTGCTGTGCCTTATATGTATGCTAAAACGGCAGCTTTGAATAAAAATATTCATTGTTTTTAATATTTTATATATATAAAAGTTAATGTAGAAATTGGGTTATAAATCTAAAGCTTATTTTCTATCATTTAGATATTATTGAGCTCGCGCATTCCTGATTGTAACTACGTCACAAGTGCACAGACTTCATAAAAACATATGCCGTTATTTTACAAGCGCAAATTAAGAAGCATATTATTCGTATTTCAGCAAAACTGAAATCCAGCGTGTTGTAACTATATAAAATAAACAGCTAACCAAATTTAAAGCGATAACCTACCATGTAATCCTGTTTGATAAAGAGGTTGTCGGGTTCAACACAGATGCCGTCCTCCTCCTCTTCCTCGCTTCATTTGCTCTGTTGCCAAGCAGCCGAATCATCTCACTGCCACAAATGATCATTGGTTTACGCAATAACCAGCACATAGCCGTTAAAACATGCTGCTGTAATTTATTGGGAACGGTAGAAGGACAACGTATAAGGAATATATAAGGAAGGTGTTAAAAATGATATAATAAATGTACATTCTAAGTGAGGTGTGTCGTATCGTCATAGTCCGGGAATGTTATGGGCCTGTCAGATTAATCGAATTATAATAGTTTAACGTCTATGCAAATATAGCCTACAGTACTTTTTTTTTTTTTTTTGACGTGCATGCAATTCACTCCTCATTACTAATAATATAACCAACAGCAATGCTTAAAAGTAATTATAATAATTTCCCTGGTAGTCTCTTCTCTGGAATAAGCCTGAATGGACTATATTATGTACGGAGCGTTCTTTAGAATTTGCAGCTGGTAAACTAACCTCTCCTGCCTCGTTCTTTTCAGAAATTGAGAAACAAATTGTACATAGACACGTAATTGTACATTTAAATGCTTACAACAACTAAACACTATCGTAACTATTTA